ACAAAAGGAGTCTATATTCTAAAAGGATAACTTAACATTCAACCCTAGTGATTTGGAATTCTAATTCAATATTGAAATAACCTCATTATGAGAAGATATTCTTGGGACTGGCAGTTCTTTATTGATATTTGGTCCCCAATATTGGGTGCTAATTGGTATGAAACCATTTGCAGGTAAAATAGGAATTGATGGGAAGAAAATACATGCATACCTCTTTAATGCAACAATATGAAAATCCATAAAAGAATAATTCACAAGCCTAAATACAAGGAGGGAGAGAGAATGGGGAGGAAAGTTATTTTTTTGCTTCCCCTGAGCAAACATGTAATTTCCATGATTTCTTTTTAATGACTGCGGTTTGCGGCCAGTAGGTACTGATTTATGAAAAGCTGTAAAAGATCAGGTGGAACTCTGCAGGACATCGTTTACAGCTGCATGGATTGAAACCTATCTAATTTGTCTAGTAAAAGTGTGAGCTCACGGTGCACATCACCCAGCCTATAAATTTCCCCTTCAGACCCAAGTCTGGGGCTGGGTCTAAAAAAAATAGCCAATGCCTGCAGCTGCTCAAAAAAGCGGACATTCCCTTGGTGCGCATGAAGAGACATCACAGGCTCTTCACAGTGAGAGACAAATTCCTATCCATTGATAAACTCTCCAGATGTCCTCTCCGAGGAGGAAAGGAACCAATTTTTATTTGAATTCCCCAGAGAAATCCTGGAAGTGGAAAAATGATACTTTGCAGGGGTGGTTATTCTGAGGTCACTGGCATTAAAATTAGGCCATTCTTTGTCTTCATTGTACTTTGATCCAAGTAATAAACAGAAAAACTCAGTTGGGGTCACTCTAATCCCTAATCTGCACGTCCTGTTCCATTTCAGTTTGTTTATACTAATTTTCTCTAAACTCTTGTTGAGTCTGGCTATAGTGTTGAGTTTAAAAATACAAACCAGTTTGAACTGAGAAGAAAAAATTCTGCATTTTGCTATTAGGCACAGTTCATAAATATTCTGAATAAATGTCCTGGGGTTTGATTCTTCATACCCACAAGCCCATAAATAAAGGAGTATTGCTGTTCATGGGACCAAGAGTCGACATTAGATTCTTTACTGCAGCTACTGTAGAAATACAAGCTGTGGGGTGTGCACGCGTGCGTGTGTGTGCCTGTGTGCATGTTTGCCTGTTGATGGTTTAGTATTTTATTGTCTTCTAAGTATGACTTCATTTTTCTTATAAAATTGTCTCCACCTGATTTAATGGGATTCCTATCAATTGTGTTTGCTAATTCAGTGACTTATCCAAGGGGTCCAGTATTCTATGTAATGCTGGCTAGTGACAAAAGCTATTTCACCCATGAGGGCCATGTTAAAACAATCAAAGAATATTGTGTAAATTTTGGAATCTGGCTTGTGTATCTGTATCTGTAATTCCTCAAGTTCCTGGGAAAGAAAACAAAACCAAGAAATTTTCAATGATTTAACCTTTTTTACAGATGAGTAATTTAAAGAGTCATAGAAAATTATTTTTACATATTCCCCCGAAGAGAATAATTTATACAATGTTCTATTTATATTGTGTAGTTTTCTAGGTATTCCTTGAAGGAAAGAAAATCAATTATTTTAAAAATAATATCTAATTTTTGTCTCTCTTCCATTTTTTAAAGATAACCTCTGAGTGTTAGTTAAAACTAAACCATAATATATAAATGAAATTATAAACTCTATAATTTTTTGTTTTTAATTTATAAATAAAATACTTGAGGTAGATGAAATTGTAATAGTTGAGTTTAGTTTAATGGAAAGAAGGTTGAAAAGCCATCCATTCTCAGCTGCCCTCCTCTTTACAAATGATCAGGCGAGGGAGGGAACTAGCTATTGAGCTATTTTCTCTGCAGAGGATAAAAATACAGACAGAACCAAACTGTCATGCTATCAATTTTTTCTTCAACTGAGTATTAAGATTTCCTTAACATTTCTTTATATCAAATGAAAAAAATACTTAAAAATTTATTTTCATCAAAAAAATTTAATGTATCCCCATCAAAATCCAAATGGACTATCAAATTACATTCTCTCATGTGTTTCCAACAGCAGCCTGCAGGGTTAAGACATGATACAAAATTGTTCAGGTTTGAGAATATTAGCCTCACACTTAAGCATGTTTTCTATGGGAGTGAGTTGAGAAATATCAGTGGTAATAAAAATCTCCCAATTAAAAATTCCTTTTAAATGTCAGTAGAGTTGGCATATTTGTAGATTTGTTTTACAGAAACTTTTCCTCCTGAGAACATGAGCTTTACCACATTTCCTAAATGATAATCAATGGTTATTATTCATAGATAAAACACTATGCGGTTTAATTTTGTCAGGACTGTTCCTTCTGTCATTATTCCGTGCTACTTCTAAAAATATTATTGAATTGGTACTTTAAAGAGCTGAGTTTGTTTCTAAAATAAGGATAAATGTATGTTAGTATATTCTTCATTTGTTCTGTCTTTGACAATTCTAAATGTTGAATTTAAGCACCTCAAAAAATAGATTTCATTTAGGTAAAGTATTAATTTTTAATAGATAGGAAAATATGAAGTTTAGTTAATAAATCCTAACATTGGGGATTTAAAAAATAATTTTAAAAAGTTTTAAGAGTTCAATGCTAATTCAATTCAATTGCAGTATCACAAAACATGAAAGATTCTGAATGATAACTTTGAAAAGGTAAAAATCTAAATGTACCTTCTCAATTATAAGTTAAAGATTAGGTTATGACACACACAGTTTTAATGTTAATAATATATATTATTTGCAGTAATGAAAACAGAAATTACAGAAGTGAGAATAGCATACCTATTTGCAAGCATTGGTTATAGAATCATTGTGAGCTTGTAAAAGTTATTGGCTATTCTAATGAGGTCCCCAATTATACCTGCTTTACAAGATTGTTGCCCTATTATGCTCATAAGATTGTACATGACTAAACTTCTAGTTGCTCAGAAAGATAATTAACAGCATCACCACATTCCTAGTATTTTTTATGAACTGGGATTGTTATTTTCTTTTTGAAGTTTTAAAAACTTCAACCATTTGACTAGGTGCATTACCTTATGTCAGAATAACAAATAGCTAACTGATATCATATTACATGTCTACACATCTCTGAGTTTCACTTAACATATGTACTCTTTTTTAAACCTCATTTAATCTTTAGTTGTGTGAAATCTACTGTGATGATCATTCCCATTTTACAGATGTGAAAACAGACAAGATAAGAAAACCACTGGGGATGCCTGGGTGGCTCAGTCAATTAAGCATTGGACTCTTGATTTCAGCTCAGGTCATGATATCAGGGTCATGAGATTGAGCCCAGTGTTGGGCTCTTGGGCTCCTGCTAGGTGTGCTGCCTGTATGAGATTGTCTCTCTCCCCCTCTGTCAGTCCCTCTCTCCTCACCTGTACATGCACTCACTCTTTCTCTCTCTCTTTCTCTCTCAAATAAGTAAATAAATCTGAAAGAAAGGAAGAAAGGAAGAAAGAAAGGGGAGGGAAGAGAGAAAGAAAGGAAGAAAGAAAGGAAGAAAGAAAGAAAATCACTAAAGATCAGATAGTGTGTGCTATATCCAGGGTTCATCCCAAGTCTTATGGTTCCAATGCTTGTGCACTAGACCTCTACATTTTGTGGAATATAAAAATCAAAGAGGCCACATCTTGGAACCACAAAGTACTTAAGAGAAAACACGAGAAAAGCAATATGAACAAAGTTCCACCAGTGGCCAAGAGTGTGGGCTTTGGTATAAAATAACTTGCGTCTAAATCCTAGTTTTGCTTTTTTTTGCCTGAGGAAACCAAGATTTGTGATTTAATCTCTTTTAGTTTTGGTTTCCACATCTATTGTAGGGACATATTATCATCACCTGTTGTAAGAATTAAAGCCCTTCATATCTGTATAATATGCTTAGTATAGAAGCATAATATTCAAGGTAATCATTATTGCCAGTTGTTAATATTCATCTCAAAACAAAGGTCTTCATAACTACTTTTGCTCATGCTCCTTTCCTTGAGAGGAGAAAATGAAAAAAGAGGACAATCAATTTTCTATCTGGTAACTGGTCCCAGTCTTATGAGTCAAAGGACAATTATACGGGTCACTGAGAGCTGAAAAGACACCCCAAGGGCATTTTACCAATAGGCTGCTTCTTTTGGCTCTCCCAGGATAAAAATATGGTCCCTTCTGTTTCTTTTATGTCCCTGCTGTTCCTTTTATTCACCAGATCTTGCGGTTGGGTGTAGATCTATGGTAAGACATGTAATTATATAAAACAGTTCTAGAAGTTTCCCTTAATGATGATTGTATTGTGCAATATAAACCACAGTCATAATATCTATTATCTATTTATCTCTCCCTCTTTCATCTTTCTCTATAAATCATGAACTCCATTTGATGTTGTCATATATGTGAGAATTTCATTTATTGTTACTCATCTACTTTTTTCTATTTCTTTTGTGATTTTTATTTTTAATGACCTATGTGACACTATTTACATCTGTGCTGACTTTATGCCCTGCTGTAATTACAGTCTCAGTTATTCAACTGTCCTTTAGACAGCAACCTGCACAATGTCTACAAATGAACTTCCAGACAGCTAGGTATTCAGTATGGCATGTCTACTATAACTGGATCCTGAATTGCCACCATCTTTCCTAATAGTTAAAGAAAATAATTGAAGAAGTATGTATGGGTCTATATATGCATTCCACTGGCAAAGTTTTGATGATTTACAAAGCAGTCGTGAGAGGAGAGGAAAGCACTGAGACAAGATGATTGCACAGTATTCTTGCAAGCTGCCAGCTTGAACAGATGAAGCCTTCATGGCAGATAAATTCCACAAATAAACAGGAACACCACATGAAGTCTGGAAGTTCCTGCTGATGTTGGTGTCAAATTTTGACATGCAGTAACATTGCTGACTCCTGATCTCTCTTCCTTTGGTGTTTTCTTTTTTTGCAGGCCATCAAATCTTCTTCTGGACCAAAGCAACGTCGACATCACTACCTTCCGCACAACAGGTGACTGGCTTAATGGTGTCCGGACAGCACAGTGCAAGGAAATCTTCACAGGCGTGGAGTACAGTTCTTGTGACACCATAGCCAAGATTTCCACAGAGTAAGAGAAAAATTTTAAGACTGAATGATTCTGAAATTTCTGCTGGACGTACATGTTTTGAATTAATGAGCTATACATGTTAGCTGAACCTCTGAGGTTCTTACGTCCTCTGTAACCGCTAATCTGGGTCCTGGGTCTCTTTGTCAATGACATCTTCTAGATTTATGTGTGTTGATGTCTTTTCTCCCTCACCATAGCTCCCTGCAATAGGTGTGTTTGTTGAATTATGACCTTTCTCAGATAGACCAACAGATACATACCCACTCCCAGCCCCAATGACCCAAGTTCTTAGTTCAAAACATAAGAAAACATAGCATGATGATTACAGCATTCCTGCATTTGTGATTTTCTGTTATTTATAACAAAGCCCAACCTCTATAGAAGAGGAAAATTAAGGACTAATTGGATAAGCTGGCATATAGGGAAACACATTAAAGTCTAAAAGTAGTTTCACAAATACTAAATAATTGTATATCATCACCTATTATTGACTGTCTATCCTGTGAAGGGTATCGTGTTAGAAATTGAAGTTATAAATATGTTTAAGACATAATACTGTTTTCCTTAAAAGGCTTATAGTCAGATTGGAAAGACAGGATATGCATAATTCGTATGCATTAATTAGTGTTAATTTATGGTGTCATGTGTAAAAGTCAAATATCAAGTATAACATGCTGTGCTTCTTAGGGATTTTGCTAATAAGAATTATTTGATATAATAAGAATTCTTTGAACACATGGGTCTAAGGCAAAGAGGGTTTATAAAGAATTAATTGAATCCAATATATAATCAATAAAATTAGTCCTCATTCATAGGATATGGTAATTAGGAAGTGGAAACGGAAGAGCCAAAAGCCATATTCTCCATCTCTCTGTGAAAGAAAACCAATTTAATAGACTTCCTAATGTAACTGCATTGTTTTTCTTTTTTTGCATAGTGACTTTTTTTTTTTTTGCATTTCCATGCACAAGTTCCTTTAGTCTTATCCTTGCTATTCTATATCTTAATATTCAAATGTTGAATAAAGATTTTAATTGTCACCCTGTTGGTCATTTAAACAAAGTCACTGTGGAGAGCAACAGATTAGATGTCAAAAAGGAGTGTACAGTGTAATTAATAGAGATACAAGTGCCTAGCAAATAGGTAAAGCTGACCATGTATGATATAGAATTCCAATCGGAAACACAGAAGTTCACAAAAAGATCTTTGGGAAGGGAATGTTCCTATTGAAGGAGAATTTGCTCTTAGAAAATAAACCCACTCCAGTCTACTTGACACATGTTGGCTTTTCTGTATGAAGTGGAATGTAATGTTTATTGAATAGACTTCTGAGTCAATCAACAATACCATTTGAGTTTCTGTGGTAGTCATTTTGATCAGACACAGTCTCAGGATATATTAATGTATTTAAATATTTTTATAAATTCTTATTTTAGTAATGTAAACAATTAGGGTTATGCTCTACAAGACATCTGCTTCAGAGCACAGAGGCATAGCAAAGAACAAACACAAAGTTGGACATTTCTGCACCATTGCCAGATTTCCAAAGACAAAGGTATACAAATGTTTATTCTCCATCAAATATCAACACTCAGAGCTTTTAGATAATGAAAAAGCATGCTAGAGTGGATTAGCAGAGCACTGTTAATATGATTAACTGCTAGCTCACAGTTTAAATAGAGTCAGATGTTGGGAGCTGTGAATGTGGTAATAAGGCTATTTGCTTAAAACGATGAAGTAGTGGCATTTGCTCTACTTCCAGGTTTGGGATGTGTTTGTCTCCACACTCCATTGTTGGACAGTGAGCTCTTTTTGGCTGTTGAAAATATTTTAACTTGTTATTATTTGAATGACCTGTGAATGTACACGGAAGTTGAAAGCTGACTTTTCCTGGGAGACTCTGCTCTTTCAGATTTGTCCTTCACACTAAGCCAGATGGTTCCACATCTCTCTACTTCAATCCCCACAATGTTCTTTCTCCTGTCCTATCTCCTTAATGCAGGGACAATGTAGAATTAACATCTATTGACCTAAAACTCCTTGAAAATAATTGTCTTATGGATCTCTGCGATGTGCTGTCCTTCATGCTCCTAGTTTATATAACAAAAATGAAAATGTATTTAAAAATACATAATACACAATATGGGGAAATTGAATGAGGCAACATATTTACCTCAAATGCTATAAAATATTTAACTTGGTATTTCATCCTACCTTTTGCAGTCTTGGGCTTTTTGTTTAAATGTGATTCTTTTGTGTCATCCAGACTCAATTCAGAAATGATTCTCTTGACAAAATAACTCTAGAGATTCTTTTCAAATAGGACAGAATGCTTAAAAAAGGATATTGAGTTTCTTTTTTTTCTTCTCTCCAGACCTTCAAGTTACAGGAAAAGGGTCAATAGAACTTCATATCCAAGTAAATAATTATCTATTTCAGTTAGTGTAGGGACTTCCTTGACACACAAGCTAATCAAGTTATCTAATTTTCAAATGAAATCCAGAAAATATGCAGTTTTGTTCAGTCAAAATAACACGTTTTAAAATATTATTGCATAGCCTACGATGGATTTAGGGAGGTTAATGTGAAATGGGAAGAGAGAACGAGAAAGGGCAAGAGTGCTTACAGAAACTGGAGAGAGCATTGAGTGTGTGCAATGAATATTAGGCAGATTAATTGCTACAGGTCATTATCCTGCACCCTTGGATGCCATTCTCACAGTGTCATCACCTATCTTTTGCCTTTGAAGTGCCAGCCAGATAGCTTATTAACCTCTGGTCCCAGTCTTGAGCTGCTCTTTAGACTTGAACTTTTCCAGTGCTCTTCTGAATAGGGTAGTCAAAATGAGATAAGCATGTGGGAATGTTATTTAGACTACAGGAGCTGATGTTTACAACTATTTTGGACTTGGCAGGCTGGTGGGTAGGAGACACGTTGGCAGGGTAGGGAGGCTAGAGGGGACATAAAAATCTAAGCTGAGGTATAACCTAAAGAAATAATTACTTTATATTTTTTTGAAGAAGCCTTTGCATTGAATATATACAAAATTATGTATTATTTATTTACATTGGGTTCAGGCACAGAATCTGAAATAGTTTTATGCAAGAGATTTCTTGAGGAGTGTGTTTAAGACATACATCTATTAAAAAAAAAAGTGATGAGGGGGAAAAAAGTGATAAGGGGGACAATGGGCTGAAGAACACTTGTCCCTTCCTGTTGGAACAAGAGTCATAGAGCTGGGCAAGTCATGAAAGTATAATATAGAATTGGAAGAAAGATGAGAGGAGAAATACAAAAAAATTGAGGATCTATTGATTTGTACAAATATATTTATATCTCCCTGTTTTCTGTCTGTAAATTTCTATAGTTAAGGATAAGTGGGGAAATGCTTTTTATTCATTTAAAAGATAGATCCACGGTATATAAAGAAGCAAACCCCCGTACAACACATATTCTCAGAAGCAGGGATCAATATATGTAAATAGCCTATGTTACTCTAAGGGAGAGTTTCATTATCCACAGTTACACAGAGCGGCAAGTCTGGTGTCACCGTATCTACCCACTAGCCTTCCTGGTGAAGCAAGGCTGCTGGAGGAAACTCAGAGCAGACTCAGACAAGATACAAGCTATACATTGAGAATTTATCAGCCCCTTGAATGGTAGCAGGGAGGTAAGAGCAGGTCATCAGAATTTCATTCCCAGCCTAGGTGATAGGAATACAACCCCATCTTGATTAATTTTCTGTAGCAGATGCATAAATATCATGTAGATTGCTTCTAAAATGGTTATCCAGTGTCCGCTTGTACACCTTTGTTGCTTGGGAACCCATTTTTTAAGAAATCAATCGGTCCATTTCTGTGTAATTGAACTCCCAATTTTTCTTTCTTTTCTTTATGATCAAAATGAAAGAGGCCCTTCTGTATGTTTCTGTGTGTGTGCACATATTTGAATGCGTATTTTTCCTTCTGGCCATTCTCAGTTAGCCTGGCACTCCTTGCTAAGTGATACTTTACTCCTCTATGGCTTTCCCCAGGTAAACGTATTTTAGTCTATTTGTTCATCCTTCATTAAGTAGATATGGAGCCACTACTAAATGATAGCCATTGTTCAAGGTGTGGTTGATAAACAGAGTACAAAACCGACGGGAATCCCTGTTCACATGGAATTCACCTTCTTATGGGACAAGACAGAGAATAAAGAAAATAAATCAGAAGGAAAGGCAATAAGCTGTTTGGTGATAAATGCTTTAGAAGAAAATGAAACAAGGAAAGAAAATAGGAAATGCAGGTATGAGTGCAAGAGGTTTTGCAATATTAAATAGGAAGGTCAGTTAAGGAGTTCTGAGAGGGCTATGTTTGAGTCAAGACCTGAAAGAGGTGAATTTTTGAACAAATACTTGAATCAAGGTAATTTAATTAATCATTTGCACATGCTTAGCTAAGTCTCTCCCACACCCAAATGAAATTCCGTTTGTTCTTAAAATCTTTATTTTTGCATCCACAATAAAAAAAAAATCTCTATTTTTAATGCCTGGTTTCTAGGTTTCTAAGTTTAAACTATCTTAAGTTAAATATTTTTGATAAATGGAAATAGATCCTAGTCACTGCTTCTACTTGGAAAGGAATTTATACTATAAAGAAATTGTTTCAGTTGTCTATGGCTATATAACTAACTACCTCAAAACCACAACTTTATTGTATATCACGATGTCATCAGTTATGAATTTGGGCAGAGCTCAGATGGGTGATTCTTCTACCTAATGTTGGTGTTGACTGAAGCATTCCTCTAACACGAATCTGGTCTAGTCCAGAAGGCTTGAGATGATTTCCTTTATGTCTGCCCTGATGCAGATGGCTACATAGCTGGCAGTGTAGACTAAATGCTTACACATGGTTTCTCCAATGTCATAGTCTCAAGCTAGTCAGACTTACATGGCATCTCAGGGCCCAGTGATGGTGTCTCAAAACACAAATGGAATATTATAGTTTCTTGAGACCTGAACATGGAAACTGATACAGTGTTACTTCCAACATGCTCTTGAAGTAAAAATAATCCCCAAGCTAGCCCAGATATAAGGAAACTGGATAATGACCCACAAAGAATGTATCATCTATATTAGTTTCCTAGGACTGCCATAATGAATTACCACAAACTTATTATCTTAAACTACAGAAATTTATTTTCTCACAGTTCCTGGAGGCCAGAATTTGGAAATCAAGGCATTGCAGGTCCATACATGATCCAAAATGTCTGGAGTGGAGGAATCTTTCTTTGCCTCTTCTGGCTTCTGGTATATTCTAACATTCCTTGTTTTGCAGCAACATAACTCCACAATCTCTGCCTCCATCTTTACATGGCCTTCTTGTCTGTGTCACTTTGTGTCTAAATATAGTCTCTTTGGATTCAGAGCCCACCTTATGTAGTACGATCTCATCTCCATCCTTGTCTTGATTATATCTGCAAAGACTCCATTTCCAAGTAAGGTCACATGGTGAGGTTCCAGTTGGACAGAAATTTTAAGGGGACACAAGTCAATCCATTAAACCATCTATTCTTTCATAATGATGGAGGTGGAATGATCAGGATAGAGTACATGGATGATGCAAAAATCAGAAAATTAGGTTCAAAGCACTAGGATATATGATTGTGCAAGCTTTGTTGATTGAAAATCTTCTGCTTATATACCATCCAGGAAACCAGGATTCTCACCACACATTTTCTTCTTTTTTTACAGTGACATGAAAAAGGTTGGAGTCACTGTGGTTGGTCCACAGAAGAAAATCATCAGTAGCATTAAAGTTCTAGAAACACAATCAAAAAACAGTCCAGTTCCAGTGTAAAGTGTAATTTCTGGAAGAAAGTGGTAGCTGTGGAAGACCTAGTATCATTCTACAGACAGATGATAATGCTGGAGATGCTGGTGGCAATTCCAAGCCCAATAAGACACTCAGATATGAATACAAATGCCTTAACATGGAATTGAAAGACTCTTTATTTTCCCCTATCATTTAGTGGATGGGAGGGGGGTGTATTTTGTTTTGTAATTGCTTTTTTATATTAGTTGATGGGTTAAATTAAAATTCTTCAGCGTGGAATGATGAAGAACTAGCATAGAGCCATTGATTATAAACTGATTATCATAAAAGCCGAACAAGTATAATAACAAAATGAACATGGTGGCTCTGTTTACTAATAGCCACAAAAGAAAAGACTTGTGATATTTTTATACACAGAAGAAATCTGTAACAGGTATTTTGTTTCTTTAAAAGCAAGCAAAATAGAGGAGTTTATACCTCAAACTATCTGGCCATATATACTACCTTTTTCATTGTATTTTTCTCTTTTATCTGTTAAAAGCATTTAGAAATGAAGTTTGTAGTTGTTTTAAGTACTATACATTTTTAATTGTTAGCTTCTGAAGTATTACCATGTAAAAATGTGTCTTAATTTTGAAGAAAAGTACATATTTATTTTCTTTTGAATTGTTTTTATTATTTTCTATTTATAGCATGATGATTTAATTTGGATTTGTTACAGCCAAGTGCCAAATGTTCTTTAAAATTGTCAGCAGTAAGAAACATGGTAAACTAGACATGGTGAATGATGGGTTTCTTTCCAGATTTTCTGAACCATCCACTTCTATGTACCTATATCTATATATAAAAAGAAAGAAACCGAACCCCTTCCCTGTTCGTACATTACTTAAATCTCAGTTTGAATTATCTTATCCATTTTGTCTCTCCATTTATTACAAACTGTATGCTCCTAATTTAGTGTAATATACTGGCTTGTATGTAATGGATTCTTAATGACATACCTGCCCTGCTCTGGTGCTTAGGAGACCATCAACTCCCTCCATTAGTAAAGGAGCCAAATTGGAGCTCCTGAGTAGAGAATAGCTACACTGGAAAAAATTGGAATCCTATTTAGATTGCTGCATTAATTGGCAACAAAGCCTAGAGGCCAATGCATGAGTTAAAAAAATCACTTGCTGACGGCTTTGAAATGTCACTTAATATCTTTGCTTAAACTTGTTGAACTATTTATAGGGAATAATGAAAACTAAACTACTCATCTGTGTCACTGGGGTTTAGTTAATTTAATTAAACATTGTGATCATCAATAGCAGGTATTATTATCTTTAAGAGTCTTCCACTGAAATGCACCTGTTGTAATTTTGGTGTATAACTTAGAAGCATTGAACTTCTCTGCATTTGTTGAGCATCTGATTTTCACACGAGCTGGTTATCTAGCAAATGACTCAAAAATCTGTAGACAATGGAGAGATCTCTCATTGCAGGAACTTAGATTTACTATTCCATAAGGGCCAAATATGAGTGTACTCAGTAATATTTGAAAAGGTATACCTGATGGAGATCTAGCGACTAATATATTGTGAAGCAACATTTTAGTTCTATCTATATTCTTTCTAATGCTGATAGGATCATGTTATGGGAATAGACATGAGAAATGCATACATCACAAGAATTGGATGAATAAATCAAAGCTGCAACCCTTATGTTCTTATGCACAATGGAACACTATACATCTTACAGTCGCAGATCAAAATTCACAAGTGCTAATCTGTTGTAAATTTAGTGTAATAAAGCTTAGGTTGTGTTCCTTCATGTATGAGATTATTTCTTAGATTTCTGCAATATTCCTTATAGTAAAATCATCCTACTAGAATTCTGTATTGGATATATAAGAGCATGAACTTTTTAAAAAGATATATGCGGTTATGAAATTAATTACAAATTTCACTTAAGCCTGCTAGAAGCAGCTAAAAGGCATTTTTTTCTTTCTTTTTTTTTAATTTTTTTGTAAATCAGATTTTTTTGTGTGTTTTGGAATGTTCATCAAGACTTAAATCTGGCTTCAATCTCATTTTTTCCCATACTAGCATTTACTTTCTTAGGTACTATTCTGAGAATACTCAAAATCTGTGCATTTCATGAATTAATAGAAGTTGAGATTTGCTAGATCTATTTCACTTCTTTTGGCTGCGGTTTCCATTTGAAAGTAGAGATTGTATACACAGTATATTGCTCTTCATTTTTTCCACTATTTTTCTATCTGACCTCTTATAAATTTACTTTACATGCTTTTTACTCTGTACATATGTAAACATAACAGTGTACGATTCTTAACTGTGGAGTAGAGGTACTAGAATGCTGATGGCCATCTCTTTGTATAGGACCTGCATTGACTTTCAATAAACATGAAAACACACTTCTTCACAATGTTATGTACCATATTATCTGTTTTGTATCTTAAATTTGATTTACATATATTATTTATTTCCGATAACTCACGCAGTTTATGCTGTGCTAAGTATCAATTAAGCCATGTATAAATGTGATATGATTGGCAATATGTATTTACTTTAAATTTGTATTTTCAAAAATTACACATTTAGTTTATATCGTACAATGTAGATGGCCTCTTACTAATGTAAAATGATTTGTAGTGGAAACATTTATATTTTTATAATAAACATAATGAAAATATTTTTTACAGATTGGAATACAGAAGTGGTCTTTGAAGCTTTTTTAAACATTATAAGATATGTGCTTATTTAAATAGCAAAATAATGAAATTTATATAAGCCATAAAGAATGTGCTTCTGTTTCTTTTTTCTCCAGTAGTGAGGAATGTTCATGTTATATAATCCATTTTGTTGTCTAAATCTCATTATCAATAAGCTAGAAAAAATAAGCAGTAAGTATTACCTTTATCATTAAAAAACTCAACTTTATTCGGCAAATATATTTTTATTATAAGTAACGAAAAAACAGATTAGCTTAAGGAGAAAGAGAATTTTGACCTCACAGACTTTATGTGAATCATTTTGGGAAGAGTGAAATACTGAGATTGGCAAGTACTTAGTCATGTGCTTACCCTTGGAGACAGTGGGTGGGGACAAGTGGATGGAATTGATGATCTACAGGATTAGAGGTATCAGAGTGGTTTATGTCCAAAAGAAAATCAGCATGTCATTTATGAAAAAAGGAGGAAATAGTTTTGGACAGGTCAATAAAACTAAAATGAAAAACAAACAACCACAACTGCAGATACCACTTAAGAAACACCTGATACTATTTATAAAGTAGGTCCATTGTCATTTGCAATCTATTTAAAGAAAATGATTATACATGAAAACCAAAAAAAGCTAACTAATAATATAAAGCAAGATGAGTGATCAAGAATTCCATAGAGACAAAGTCGATAGGGAGAGATCACAAAACAGGTCAGATTTAAGCTTATTTAAAGGAGAAATAGCGCTTGATAACATTGACTGGAGTAGGCAATAACTTGTAAGCAGCAAATTAGCTAAATAAAGGGAAAGAGGTAAAGAAGAATATATTTATTCATTCAATAAACATGTATCTAGCACTATCATGAAATAGGTGTTTTGTTATTACCATTTGTTTTTAAAGCAACTCATTCAATCTTTTCAACAGTCCTGTGAAAATAGATTACTCACTTTTAATATGTGAGGGAATCAAGGTTTGGAATGTCCCAGTCACCTTCCCAAAGTAATTCTACTAAGTAGACAAATAGATATTTTTCAAGCTGGAAACTTCTTATTTTGTGTTAGTTTTATAAAATAATTGCTGCTATAATCCAAAAATATGCTCTGGGGAGAGTGTCAGTGCCAATTTGCAAAAATGGTTTATGGCGAGGCTATCGTAGATTATTCAATGTTAGAACTCTACTTTGGTGCTATAGGCACGACGCTGTGCATTTACTCTAGAATGGTGGCAAAAGAATATGAATCATGAAATGCATACAAAGACACAGATTTAGCAGAAGTTATCAATTTGATAAAATAATTATTCAAAAGGTAAGAATCAAAGTGAACCATAAAATGTAGGTCATGACTGTCTGTGGAAATGAAGGCACCATTAGAAGTAGGGAATAAGGAAATGTTAGCTTAAAATTATGAGTTTGCAAAATTTATGGTGTCGCCAAACCTTAATAAACTAATAGGTGTTGAAGATGTTAGTTTGAAGCTTTAGAAAAAATCATTCAAAGGTGAAAGTGTCTCTGAGTTGATGCAAAGATCTATGTATCTTCATTTATGCTATACAAACATATAACTTTATCTTGAACTACATTTCTGAAGTTAATGCTAGCTGCTAGTTAATAGTTAAATCTCCAAATCTCATCAGCTTAAAATAGAAAAACAACAAAATGTTGTTACAACAAAATACAGAATTACCCAGAGTAGCTTTTTGTCAGGCAGCCTTACTAGCAGTGATTCAGATCCCACACTCTTCAATTTGTGGAGTCTAAGTCCTTGGAATCCTTTGCTCCCAGCCAGTAAAATGGAAGGGAGACTTGTCTGTGGTGGATTTCATGAGTCTTGCCTGTGAGTGGCACCCATTGCTTCTCTCTTTCCGTTGGCTAGGACTCATATTTTATTTAACTGCAAGAGAATGGGGAGGAAGTAGGTTGCCTAAATAGAAAAGTAAAGAGAAATCTATACTATAGAGTATAGGAATCTATAGAGCACTTTCTGCCCCGAGTTCTTTTTATGGACATGTATAATACTAAGAAGCAGCTAGTTCTCTAAAGAACTATTAAGGGAACATCAGTTTCTTGTTAACTTCACCCATTCCATATTCTCTATAGGCACCATTTTAAACTTTTTTCTCTCTTTACTTACACCTGATAGTTCTGTTAGCGGCTCCTGGGTCTGCTCTGGACCAGAACTGTTCAGACCTTCTTACAACAGAGAACTTACTAGAAGGAGAGTGGTTAGCTGAGAACTTTGAGCTGTCGTACTCTCAGAAATCCCAGCACAGCACCAGGCCCAGGCACAGCAGCATGATGAGAGTCCTAGAGTAAGACCATTTCTTCTCCCGTGACAGCCTCCTTTCATCAGTGTTATAGCTCAGGCTCACCCCCCCCCCCCCCCCCCAGGGCTCTCCGAGCTGCACTGCAGCCTGAGCTCCCTACCAACCCCTCCCCTGCTCTGCCCTTCCACAAGCCTCAGACAGGAACTTCAATCTGAACGCTCCCTATGCCTTCTCTT